GTTATAGTTCTAGATATGACAATCCCTCATATGATCGGAGTCTAACACACGATGGATTCTCAACATATGATTATGGATCTAGCCATTACTCCCAGACATCCTCGTCATATAGATAAGATGAAGGTTGGCCAGGGACTGGTGCATTCGTTTCCTTGCAGATTAGATGTAGTGTTACAGACTACCAGAGGTTTGGGAGAGAGTTGTTGGAGTATAGATAGTCCAGTTTATTAGGATTTCTTTTCCCTTTTTTACCCTTACTATAATTTTTATATTTTGCCTAAACTACAAGGATGTTTAAGTCACTCTGTATTATTTTTGGATATATATACGGGGCTCTACTCTTAATTTGAGTATCCCTTTTCACTCACAAATATTTCAAGTTGGTATCAGAGCCACAACCCTAACACTAACCCTAACCTCTTCTCCACGTTGCAGCCACCAGCCACCACACCTACACCGACTACAACATAACTGCCAGATTAAACCAGCAGCTCCACCGAACGTATACCCAAAACATACCCATCATCCACCGACTGCCTCCACTCCATTAAACCAGCAGCTCCACCAATAGCCAGCTGCCCTGCCATAACTCCCATCAAACCCAGCCGACAAAACCAAAGTAAGGTACCCAAAGCCGATTGCACCTTTCTCACCGAACAACCATACATATACAGCCTCAACTCCTCACCTTTTCTCACCAAACCCCACACAATACCCAACATATACCACACATTGCCTGCCGAAACAACATATATCAGCCGACTGCCTCCATCACACTACCCAGCCGAAACAACATATACCCCACCGACATATTAAATCCATACCCAAGTCCACCAACATCACAGTGTATCTAGGATTTTTTAAAGAGGGGATGAATCCTCTTATCCGATGATCTACCCTTGATGCAGTAGATCACTTATTTATATATTTTGGATTTCTGGGCACCGTGACCTGATTATTTGGGAGCCTTTTTTTTTTTACCTTCTTTATTTGTCGCTACTGTTCGACTAAAGGTATATTGTTCTCCCTTATTTATTCCTCTATTTATCTTAGAGTTATTTTTCTGTCACGGGTGCCCTAGTATTGTTGTTGATATGGCTACTACTGAGGGACTTGAGAACCCTACTGTTGACACCTCTACCGTTGAGACATCTATGGGTACTTCCACTTTTATGTTTGACCAGTATACAGTGCCTACTAGCACAGTTGCATTACCAGCATTACCGGGCATGATCTCTCAAAAAGTTACGGCACAATTGTTGAATGGTCGTAACTTCGCTGAGTGGTCACGCTCATTCCAGCTTTTCTTAGGCCGTGTAGGGAAGCTTGGTTGGCTGACGGGATCTCACCCAAAGCCAGCTGATGCCGACCCTGGATATTCTGCGTGGTTCTCTGAAAACTGTGCCATTCTTGGATGGTTATTTGGCTCAATGGAGCCCTCTGTTTGCAGGATCCACCAGTTTCATAGCTCTGTTCCGAAGCTATGGAGCGCATTATCAGAGATGTATTCTCAGTCAGGACGGGGAGTTCGTGTTTATGAGCTTTCTCAGGAGCTCTCATATGCTCGGCAGGGAGATATGACCGTTCAGGATTATTATGGCTATTTGACCCAGCGCTGGCTTGAGTATGAGTCTCTACGTCCTCTTGCTGCTATTCCGAAGATAGAGCCCGAGGGAGCAGCATTCTTGCATACTCGAGAGCAGGAGGATAGGATTCACAAGTTCCTTATGGGGCTTCGTGATGAGTTTGAGGGACCTCGTTCTCAGATCTTGTCGATGTTGACACTTCCTTCTCTTTATGAGGTGTATGGGATGATTGAGCAGCATGAGCGTCGAGTCCGTATTGCATCACTTCCAGTTGCAGCTTTGACTCCTTCGATTGACCAGATGGCCCTTGCAGCTGCTGTAAGGTCCCGTTCAGGCTCCTCAGTCAGGGATGGGCAACGCTCAGACCAGCGCCATCAGGGCGTCCCAGATCAGCGCAGACGGGGGAATTCCCGTCAATGTGATTATTGTGGCCGACCAGGACATCTCAGGGCTACTTGCTGGAAGCTCCATCCATAGCTTAAGCCACCTTCTCGCAGCCGTACTATTGCTATTGCTGAGGTACCACCGCCCACTACCGCCACTCCTGCTGCTACTCCTCCTTGGCAAAGTGATATGAATGCTATCACTTCCCGATTAGATATACTTATGTCTGCTCTGACTTCTCAGAGTCTGACTACTGCTGCTGTCACCACTACAGGTATATCTCGTGCCTTTCACGCTTGTGCCAGTTCATCTCCCCTTTGGATGTTGGACTCGGGTGCGAATGGTCACATGACAGGTGAGGCCCATCACTTCACCACTTTTGACGAGCCATTACATACACAGGTTCAGTTAGCAGATGGAACACATGCCCCTATTGTTAGTAGGGGTACAGTCCGTCTCCCAGATGGCCTTACATTACATTCGGTTTTTCATGCGCCAAAGTTGGCCATGAATCTATTATCTGTACATCAGTTAGCCAGAGATTTTCACTGTGCGGTTGTATTCTTATCTGATTCGTGTTATTTGCAGGACCTGAGTACCAGGAGGATTATTATCAAGGGACATGAGAAAGATGGACTGTATTATCTTGGCAATCCATCTCCAGTTTCACCAATTCCTTCACCTGCACCTGCTTTGTCTTTTTCTGTTCCTAGCTTGCATGCTAGTATTTTACCTAGTAGTTGTCGTTATGATTTTTCGTCACAAACTGTTCAATTGTGGCATGACCGTTTTGGACATACAAATTTTAAATATTTATGTATGTTGTTTCCTGCTTTGAGTAATGTTTGTGTTGGTGGTAAACTTGATTGAGTTATCTGTTCCCTATCGAAACATGTTAGGGTCAATTATATTCCTCGCATGCACCAGTCACCCAAACCATTTGACCTAATACACTCTGATATTTGGGGACCCTCTCCCGTTACTGCTCTGTCAGGTGC